CTTTCGGCAGCCCTATTGCTGGGGCATCTGGTTGAATCCAGGTGCCTGATGTTGAGCTGGAGGTGTGTATGGTAGTACATTTGTCACCTGAGCAGGATATGGTCCTGTTTGTCCTTGCGCCTGCTGATAATGCAATGCGTAGTCACGCGCCCAGTGACCTCTTCTGTATGGTTTGGGAATCTACCAGGGTAGCGTGAGCGGAAAAGGTAAAAGGCACTGTAGAATTGAAATTGGATACACGGCATAGCGACTACAAATACAGTCGCTAGGGAAAGGAAGGAAAAGAACTGGCACTAATTGAAAATTTGTCGTGGTAGTGAGTGAAAAACACTGTGAGCTAAAGGTAGTAGCTAATGTCTGACGCCATTAGCTCGTGTCCAGGGCCGCAGTGAATTGTGGAATTCTACCGTGCTAGTGAGCGAAAGGCAGAAGGTAAAACTTTATGATTATACCTATCTATTTTGCTGAATGTTATGAGAACCCAAAATACCACCTTTTTACCAGGAAATAAACTGATCTCTTGCTTTGTCCTGCTCTTCTTTAGAAAGTGTATTTAACCATTTAGACAAAAATTTGTAGAGTACTGCCCCTAACGAGTAAGGCTTAGCCTTTTCCCAGTCTTGTACAACATCTGCAGACATATTAAAAATTACACGTGACAGGCGTTTCAAGTGAAATAGTCTCTGCCTAGAACCAGCTGATTCGAAAAGGAAGGTCCTACACCAACTAAGTTGGTGCGCCCAATCGCTGGGGGTTCACCCAATCAACAGGTCTGTTTTAATTCCACTGAATACACCGTCACCCTAATGCTATAATACAGTTTTCCCATAAACTATGCCCAGCCCTGTATCCCAAAACAGTTCTGCCCTAGGCACACTGTGTCACATTGAATTTTCTCTGTAGCACTTGTTGCTATGAGATACACATGTGCCAGTGCTGAACAGCCTTCGAGCAGCAAACCACCCACACATTCCATGAAAAATAACAAACAACCTGGCGATTTCCCTGTGCCGTCACTACAGTGTGGAATTTATCAGAGATCCTATTTCAGGCAAGATGTTTCACTGCCTGATTTCCAGCCGGGGAGAAGTTAAAAAGGAAATGGGAAATTTTTAGGAGACAACTGCTACTACGTAGCAGAAATCCACTTATGAACGTGAATTTTACATCTCTTATTGGTATCAAATTCTGTGATCAACGGCACTCATTCACTGTCCCTCAAAAAGAATGAGTCTATGTGCTTTGTTAACTGTTACATGTGACAGAGAACAATCCAGCACATCATTCAAAAACAAAAAAAATGTGTTTTCTTATCCTTACTGTTTTGAATCCAATTTAAAACGTCGAGAGTGGGCAGTTCCACACATCAACTTCAATTTGGCATAAGTTC